CGGCAATGGTGGTGAAAACAACAACTCCCATGATCCCACGCTGCTTCACCACCTCATCAGACTTCCTCCTTTGTTATTGTTTTGATGTGAGAAAAGCCCTAGTGGATGGAAAAACGTCTCCTCTCTTCTCCCGACTGACTTCAGTAAGAGTTTGATTACATTATATGGTTAATTGATCGCCCTTTTCCAACAGTCACTCCCCAGATGGTTCTGTGTAACAAACCACAGTCCAACATGAATTTTGTCACTGGTTTGACGTAGGCGGGGCTCAGTTAAATGTTTATATACTGCTAATAAAAGCTAAATATTTAAGCAAAGTACTACCAATGTCTGTACAAAGACTTTGACCTGCTGGTGGCGCTAGAGGAAAAGTCAGCCGACTTCATCCTCTGGTGATCGTGAACGTCTGTATAACATTAGAAACGTTGTTACCAGCTGAACATACCAGTGGTTCCCAACCTGCGGGTCAGGACCCCCACTAGGGGTCGCCAAAGCTTCACAGGGGGGTCGTGAGGCCTTCTTGATTTTAAGGGGTGGTGATAAAACAAAGAGAAGAAAAGAAGAAGCCTATTATGTCTGTATGATTGTTACATAATACAGACAGAATTGTATAAAACTAACAGTAAAACTCATCTCTGATCAATATTCACTCCAATATTAATAATCTGCTTCAAAATCATCCACATCTCTGGTTGTCTACAAACTTCCTGCAGTTGCTGTGTTCAGATAATCAGCTGTTCTCTACTGTTACTGTTAAACATTGAATATAATATGAAATATCCATAAAATAAGTCATGTAGTGAATGATAGAAAAGGGGTCCTGTTAAGCAAAAAGGTTGGGAACGACTGGTTTATATGATGAGTGGTCCAGTTAGGGAGAATTAAAACCAGTAAATAATCTGTGCTGGTTTAAAACAGCTGAATGAGTTGAGAGCTGATGGAGGGTGTAAAGCTGCTTTTATTTTGTCTTCAGAATTTTACACCTTTCACCTGCACATTCATCTTTATGCATTGCATTGTGGGAATAAGATATATATGTTTTTTTCCACATCATGACAAAACGATATATTGTTTATTTCTGGAATTAACTGTGTAATTAGTGTTGTTTTTAATTAGTTTCCTCTCAGTGCTTCAAGGAACTTGCTACACAAACTGCAAAATGAATGTAGCCTTAATGTCCTATCAAAAATATGAACTCTTATTCTGTTTGTTAAAACTTTTATACCAATGATTCCAAAAATAACTCTTCATTATTTAAAAAAAAAAAAAGAAAGAGAAAAAGAAAATCTCTATGCATACAGTTTTATATTTTATACATTTGGACAAAGCCGACTGAAAAATGTCCTGACTGAAACGTGAGATGTGAAACACGGAGCTACTTTACACGGTGCATGCTAATCCTGGTTGCATTTTACAGGAACTGGAGCCTCTCAGCGCTCTTATATTCTCACTGTAATCAGTAATTTATTGATCACGAGTCCCGTCTTTAACCACAGCACTCGTACGAGGGAAATTGGCAGTTCTAAAATCTGTACATTTTGTGTCAAAGAAGAGAAGCCGGTGAAGAATAAAACCAAGAACGTGTTGAGTCGGTTAAAAACTGTACAGCCGCACAGGGAAAAACCTCAGAGCTGTTTTAAAGGTTCTAAAGTGCCTTAAAGCTGCTGTGAAAATCCATTAAATAAATTCGAAACATGAATCCGGTCTGATGCTTCTCACTGTGTGGTTCAATACGTCTTGCTCCAAACAGCACCTGAGGAGGCTGCTGAGCTCAGAGCACCCACTGCGGGGGGGTGACGGGGGGGTTTACATACGTGTACAATATTTTGGGAAATACGGTTATTTGCTGAACCTTAACTTGTCCTTTTTACACTTAAGTTTTTGTACAAAACAAACATTAGTGAGCTTTAAGTGCAGGCAGACAGATGGACCTCTGGACAGAGCCAGGCTAGCTGCCCCCCCCTGATTCAAGCCTTTATGCTAAGCTAACTAGCTGCTGGCTGCATATTTAACCAACAGATATGAGAGAAAGCAAATGATCCTGTTTCCCAAAATGTCGAAATTATTAGTTTAAAAGTTTCCAAAAAGCCTGTACATTAATACTCGCTAACTCTTAATCAAAGGTGTGAGATGATGTAAAGACATTTTCTGGTTGTGCAAAATATGTTCGTTTAACTGCAGTAAAGAAAACTCACTGGTGTTCAAAAACGTACGAATGTTAAAGGAAGAATATTAGGAGCATCCAGGCTGAGATCAGCGGTAATGAACATGAGATTAACGGTGAAAAGCTAGCCTTTGTTTTCACTGTCGTCTAACACGTACACACCTCAACTAAATACACCCGTCTGCTTCACCTTTTAGCTAAATAACTTGTGAATGAAGAAGAAGCTCTCCACATTTATCCTCCTGTAGCGACGAGCCGGCGGTGAACAAACAACGGGACTCATGCAAGAAACAGAATTTGTTTCAATCACCAACCTGGAATTTTCTCCAATGAAATTCTTGAGAAATCCAGACTCAGATTCGATTTTGGGGTTTAAATGTTTCCAAAAACTACAAACAACTAAAAATAAGCTTCTTTTCCCCGTATCACCACGATGCCAATTTTCTGTAAGTTTTGACAACGTTTCGTCTATTTTATTGGCACATTTTGGATGAAAACTCAGCTGCCTCGTGCTGGTCTCTAAACACACCTGTGTAATATTCTCTCATCCATCTCCATCACTGTCAACGCTCCCAGCAGACATTTTATAGCATCTTAACTTCATGCACATTTATTCACTTCCTCAACCTTCTTTATTTCTGTCACAGCACGGCTCGACTCTGATGGTCGGGACCCTCACTAGGAGTCACAGGGGGTCGTGAGGCCTTCTTGATTTTAAGGAGTGTAAGAAATGTTTACAGAGTAAGTCGATATCTCAGCATTTCATTGATTTCTGTGAGGAAAACTAATAATAATAATCTGCTCAAAATTCAACCAAATCTCTGGTTTTACTCAAACGTCCTGCAGTTACTGTTCACTGTTTGGGTTACTACAGTTTATCAGCTGTTCTCTGCTGTTATTGTTATTACTGAATATAAAATTAAATATCCATAAAATGTCTAAAACAGTTTACTTCATGATAGAAAAAGGGTCCCTTAAGGAAAAAGGTTTGGAACCACTGACCTTTGTGTTTTTTGTTGTGTTTTCAGCTGCTGATTTCAGAAGTTTTCTTTATTCTTTGGTCTTCATAAATAAAACAAATGGAGCAGAACAAGTTGCCTTATATAGAAATTTTGGGGGCATTTTGCTAATTGCCACATGCCACAAATACCCTGAATCGCCGGGTTAAAACGAGTCAAATTTGTGCAGAGTTTGGGGACTTTGAGGGAATTTCACAGAAAATAAAGTCCAAAGTTTATGTTAGGAATACAAAAACGTTCTTGCATGAGGCCCGATGTCTTTCCTGTGCAGTATCAACATCAGCCAGCATATGAAATGAAAGCATAGTACCTTGAGAGGAAATTAGATTTCTTTTCATCCCTGCGTGTTTTAGTTTTTTTTTAGAACGGGCCAGCTACGTAAGCGACTGTACAGTAGCACCTGATCACCTCTGAAGTACTGAACACTGCAGTCAGTAACGTCCCTTGCTTTAATATCATCATTCCATTCAATAAGCCCATATTAAAATATAATAAATACATCCAAATGAGAGACATTTCGATAAGAGTGTCTGTGGGAAACATTCACTGAGGTGCTCCGGGCCGACGGAGGCCAGCGGGGAGCCTTGGAAGGCAGAGCAGAAGAAAATGCTTTTGAATAGTTTGGTTGTATTTGGTCATGTTGTCGTATTCCTTGTTTAGTGTTTGGCTTCTTGTATTAAAGCAGCTTTGGTGAGCACGAAACACACAAAACACACAACGGTTCCTTCACAGAAAACCAATAGATCATGTCAGTTTACGCCCCCGACCTCAGAGCGGGGGGACGTTGTGCCAGCAGCTGCTCGTCCTGACCGGCTGCACGTCCGCATGTGCAAAAAACGAGCACGTCGTGCCACAATCCTCTTTCTGTGCTCAGCCACCTTCTGTTCAGTGGATTTATTTCAATACTTTTGAGTGTGTCATGGTCTGCGTGTGCATTAGATGGTGTGTGTGATGTAGAAGATGAACTCCATGTCCATGGCAGTCTGCGGTACACTAGCGCTACCTCCGTGGATGACGGGGATCAGAGCGCTGTCCAGCTCGTTCATGTAGCGCTGAGGGAGGAGGCGGCCTCCGCAGCCGGCCTGGTACTCCACCTGAGAGCAAACACACACAGAGAAACACTCATCACACCTTTTCCAACTGAACATGAGATATTCGAAATACTATACTGTGTACAGATGTAATGTTTGGGGGGTTTGAAGTTTCTATGGGGGTTTTTGAGTAAAGCTTGTGACGTAAAAAGAGCCAAAGAGACAAAGGCTGCCCCCTAATGGTCGACTCAACCGTTAATGAGAAGAGTGTTAGTTGATGCACTTTTCATTAGTCGGATAGTTGCAGAAGGAGCTGCACCGGGACCAAAGTATCAGAGGATTGTTGCAACATGGACCTTTTCTCTTGTAACACAGGAAGTCTCCGGTGCACGAGCTGCTATTAGTTAGTTGGCGGCCCTATTAGCTGTCTGTACCCGGACCGGACTGGGAGCTGGAAGGACAGACAAACATTATGAACACGCTTTACACTTGTTTCGCCCCTACAGCTGTTACAAAGACAGATGTTTACCATATCAGCCTGCGTAGAGATGCGAAGAGAGAGCGAGTTGATGCCACTGGAGGTGAGAACAGAGAGGTGAGGAGTCAGAGCGCTGCAGGCGGCCAGAGCCATCTCCTTCTGGAACACGCTGCAGGACGACAGCACTGACGCCAGGCTGCTGTCTGGAGTCTTGAGCTGGTAGAAGACCTGGAAGACATTCACACGTTCACACAACTGGACTGTCGACTGGCTCTAAAGCGCACACACAGTCACCAGTTCATTAAAAGGAAGATTCACCTCAGTGCATTTGATGGTGCGTCCGTCTGACTCAAACTCCGTGTCCTGCAGCACCCTCACGCTGCGGACTCCATCCAGAGGTCTCCCGTCGACGCCGCTGGTTTTGCTGCAGACGAGCAAAATCACATTGCAGACAGACAATTAAACACAGTCTGTCACTCCTGCCGCAAGGAGGTCTCTCAATCCAAACAATAACAAAAGACCAAGTTTGATGACGTTGTGAAGCAGTGTGGGATCATGGGAACGCAGGAATCACATTAACGTATGAGGTAATAATAAAGAAACCGCAAGTCAACATCTTGTCAACAAATGCACGCGTGCGGCTGTTCATGAGGGCGGATTGAAATCTGAAGGGCGCCAAGCCGCAAAAAATATCAATTCTTGCATAATGTTGCTTTAAATATTTACAGCTCTCTTATTTTTTTATGTGAACTTTAAAGAATAGGTTGACTTTTTAATACAAAATTCTTTGTGTTAACTCCTACACTGCAGCTGAGCACAGAATCACTGTGTGGGGAAACTAAAAAGAAGAATACCTAATATAAGCTTTAAATAAAATGTGGCATGTATTTTTACACAGAACGAGGACTGTGGATCTCTTCCACTGGATGCCTGTTACAGAGAGATCTCTTACTGGTCAGTACAGTTTCAATACACCTGACTACTGAATACTATGATTCATTCTCTCTCTTCCTGAGGTTCAATGGTTTCCCTGTTAAAAAGGTATTGGTTATGGGTTATAGGTAAATGGTTTGACTCTGAAGCTAATTGTGATTTGTGATATGGGTCTATATATACATAAAAATGACTTGACTATTGTTTAGAAACAGACTTTTCTTTCTTTATAGTACTTTTTTTCTTTTGTTCCAACCTTATCAGCACCTCCTCGGTGGTTATGTAAAGTCAGACTACTACTAGAAACCTTGCAGCACAAAGAATCAGAGTGTGTGTAATATGATCGCAGTGCAGCGGCGGACAGATTGCACAAACAGTGTGTAAACAGTTACCCTGCGTTAACAGGTGAACTCCAGTCAACCCAGCGGACGGTGACGTTCTCTCGGACCTCTGCTCCATCGTTCCTGCCGCACGGTATGTTGAAGTCTGTCTGCTCCCTCAGGGCGGCGCGCAGAGACTCCATAGTCTCTGGAGGGATTTGCACCATCAATCCATCTGACACACAAACACAAATTCCAGTCAGGGTTCAAAAAGCAGTCACGCATTGTAGAGTACGAGGCGAGCGACTGCGTTCTTCCTTTGTTCCTTTAGTCAACAAATCAGTGACGTTACCTTCAACGATGCTGGACTTGGCAATGAAGCCTGAGGAGGCTTTCAGGGCTCCGTTGAACACCACGAAACTGGCCCCGGTCACTGTAAGGACACACAGAACCACCACACGGTTCATTTATATGACAAACAATAACCATCACTTCGTTTGAAGGTTTTTGCTCACTCATCTTCTTTATTTTGATACAAACAGAATAAAGACGAGTAGGCAGAATTACTGCGCTCTCACCTGTGCGGGTCTTCCCAGGCATGCTGTTAGCCTGCGTCTGATAGTTTCCCTCCTCGTTCTGGAAGCACACCAGGTGAGAGTCAGCCTCTGAGCTGAAACGCGCTCCGATGCTGATGACGTGCTCGTTGGACGCGTTCACGACCTTCTGCATCTGAAAAACACACAAAACCAGCTAGCGTAATGCTACTGCTAAAAGAAATATTTCTCTTTCTAATGTTTATGTCTTTTCTTTGATCACGTTTGGCTTCACTCTCTCTCTCCTATTTACATCATAGCACTATGATTCACCGGGCGTTCAACACATCAGGTGACATCCCTCAATACTGGTGATATATATATATTTTTTTATATAGATAGGACAC